CTTATCTTATCTTATCTTATCTTATCTTATCTTATCTTATCTTATCTTATCTTATCTTATCTTATCTTATCTTATCTTATCTTATCTTATCTTATCTAACCGAGCTTCAAGTTCTTAGAAAAGCTCTTTGTGTGTTATAATGGGAAGAATAAAGGAAAAGCTCTGTTTAAACAGCAGGACTGTTGCCACAATAAAGCAGGTATATGAAGTGACAGGTGTGTCTATGCCCTCATATTTTATTTTTCATTCTACCAGAGGTGTGGCCACATCATAGACACCGATATGTCTCTTTGGGGAAAACTGTACTGCGACATCCTAGTTGTACCAAAATGCATCGTAATGCGTCCTCTGGGACCACGTTAGCATGATCCACTTTGTTTACTGCCACTGGCACTAGAGAAAGAATGAAGCAGAGTTAGGAACAGGTTAAGAAGGCAACTATGCTTCTGTGAATTTCCTGATGACTGCCAGTCATGGTGGTCACTTGGAGCGTTTCAATGGAAGAACTTTCTCAGAAGTCGGATGCAGTGTATTTACAGCATACATGTACTCGTAGCCTACATGCTCACAAAAACAGTAGAGTTTGTGTTCTTAAATTACTCCTAAAGGAACCAGCTTAGAATGTTTGCTGCCCTGAATCATGATAACTTACACGTGACACACATTAGAGCTTTTTCTGCCAAATAGGACAAAGAAAATATAGGTCCCTAAAAAAATGCTCTGCTATAACGTTTAAGCCCAAGTTAACACTGGAGTGCTTTAGAAAGACCTTTTTCATTTTCACTTTCTCACTTTCCACTGCAGGACTTGGACTATAAGGCCATCTCAGAAGTAATTCATAATCAGATTTGGTGAAACATACTTTTACATACACCAAAATCTGCGCCTCAAACGCATGAAATTCTATCTAACCCTGACATAGTTACAACATAACATGTCAAACTTACAATCTTTTCCCTGCATTGTTACTTACACACTTTCAAGTAGGCATTTTCTTTGTTCTATCACCATCATTATGATTTTCACTGTCATTAAGTTCCTTCCATCTTGTGTCTGTAATATTTCATTTAGCACCAAAGCTTTGCACCCACTGAGCTACCTAAATAAGTTCCCAGCTTGTGTATTAATTCACTACTAGGACTTAATGTGAGCCTGAAAGAAAGTGACACCCAGTAGCGTGGGCTCCATTGTACCTCTGAAAGGCCGAAGCAGCACTCTGGGTATTGTCTTCTTTAAAGGGGAGTCTGGTTCCCTTGACTACCGCAGGATGCCTACCCATAGGCCCTGGGAGAGAGAGAAAAGGCAGGGCCAGAGACGGAGGGAAAAGAGAGCGGAAAGAAGTAAAAAAGGAGGCAAGCCACGTCCCGTCCTTAACTTTATTTGCTTTTTCAAGTTTGTGTTTTCAAAGCAGGCCAGATGGCTGCCACTGGGTTGGGTTGAAGGCCTACAGAGGTGAGGATGTTTCTGAATGTGTGGTTGTCTGTGTGCTGACTGGTTTTGTGAGGCAAACTGCTGAGACATCTCTGTGTATGACTCACACTGACCTACAACAGGCTGGTGACAGGCGTTTTTTTTGTTTTTAGCATCTCTATCAGTCTAATGAACATAACAGAAATGCCGAAAGACCACTGGCCAAACAAGCTGGCGGTTTTTCCTGCAGGCAGCAGCATTACTCTGACATCTATTTATGCCTGTAAAATTTGTTGATGGAGTTTAGCTGGAAAGTGTGCCCATTAATTTGCAATTTTAAAAAGAAAAAGTACAATGGTTTTCTGTCACTTCAATCCAAATTAGTTAATAAGAAATGTAACCGTACCACTTTTGCAGTGTAGTGCATGTTTAATTTATTGGAATTTCTAATGTTATTACTTCGACAGTGACATCCTACTCCCTGTAAACTGAGGGCCATGCGCGTCACACTGCGGCCTCGTAGGTAAGCCCCAGTCTCGTTATAGCTCGCAGTAGAAAAACAGGTCACATATTGCTTTTCTTCCTTTGGCTGCCTGAAATTGTCATTTTCATTTTGACAGCTAATTGTTTAGCTGGTTTTAGTGCATAACTGGATCTCCCCAGCATGTGATATCACCAGCAGTAGGCCAACCATTATTCAGTAACTTGTTTTAACATGATTTCTCCTGTGAGGCTTTTGAGCCGTGCAGCTCAAAGTTTGTGATGAGTGCACTGACAATTTTGATGAAATGCAACTGAGTGGAAAATAATTTGATCTGGATCTGAATCTGGAGCTTTATAGGCACTAGGAGAGCCCTCAAAGTTATTGTGTGGGCATTTGAGCCTGGCTATGCAGTATGTTTTCGGGTTAGGGTGAATACTTTTACTGGCCTGATGAAAGTGAGAGAGAGTGATGGCTCTCTAAGCCCCAATTAAATCTTCAAATACTTGTTTTTACACGCCAGAGTCCCCTCACTTGAAGTCATGGAACAATTTAGCTCTCCACATTCACTAAATGAATTTAGTGAAAGGCAAAGTCCGCCTGTGTGTGTTTTTTTAATCGCATCAAGGTTACTACTAAAACCAAATTTATAAAGTTTAAAGGACATTTAACTGGTTGGGCATGGTGAAAACTAATTTTAAAAAGTGATGTTTTATTTCCTGCAAGATGCATGGCCAATAAATAATAAAAATAAACAATCAAAGGAAATAATAACAACAAGATGGTGTTGATTTTACTGCAGCAAATGGTGTCTTGTCAGACAGGTTCTCTTTGGGGGCATTTTTAGAGATTAAAGGCAAAACTACACCCTCAACCATTTGAAAAGACGTGAATTATGATTTGATAACAAAATACACCTATATATAAATTAATATTTTAGAGGTAGTTCAATACTATGCAAAAGTATTTAACTACCTCTCACTTCTTTATATATTGCTTTCAAGGAGCCAGACTTTACCATCAGATTTGATCCACCATCTGGAAAAAGTCTAATTATCAACAGCTTAATTTTTCAACAATGTAGTAAAAGTATATCTAGATAGAAAATCACAACGAAACTCATGAACTGGCCTGCCAAAGCCCAGAGTGGGATCATCTCAAGACAGAAAAAAAGAAAAGAAAAAGCCTGGATAACGATGAATGAAAACTACTTAATAAAATTACATGAAAGATGCCTAAGAGAGTTCAAACTGTGTGAAGAATAAATGTGTTCATACAAAATGACCATGCATTTGCCTGATATACTGTATTTCCATGTAAACTGCATCACCTATGTCCCATTATCCAAGCAATGTATAAAAATGAGGGATAGCTTCTGACTTTAACGCTGTATTGTATTCAATTACATTCTTTGGCTACGTCCACACGTACACGGGTATTTTTGAAAACGGAGATTTTCCGTTTTCGTTTTAAAAAATAATCCCGTCCACACGTAAAGGCAGAAATGAAGGAAAACGCTGCTAGGAACATGCCAAAGCAGCAGGTGGCGCTATATTCCTAACCGTGTAGAAATGTTGGCCAATCAGAAGTCTAGAAGCCTCGGTGGGAAAAAGTAAACAAAGCTGGAGAGTAAATGTGTGTATATATGTAAGCATTTAAACACTGCAGAGAGTACAATCAACAGTATTGTAGAAATTCATTTCACCGAAACAATAACGTGGCGCACACTGTGACGTCAAAAAAGGCGCACATCTTTGACGCTGCGTTTTCTCCGTTTTTCTCGTCCACACGTAAATGCAAAAACGGAGTTTTAGAAAATATCCACCCTGGCCGGAGTTTTTTAAAAATCTCCGTTTTCGTGTGGACGAAAGGTGCAAACGCATAGAAAAATCTGCGTTTTCAAAAATACCCGGGTACGTGTGGACATAGCCATTGTCAGTTTAAAAACGCAGGCTATGGGGTAGCTGAAATAGTTAGCTTAAACTGTCTGCCAAAGGTAGACTTATCATCAAGCAACAACAACTGCTAACAAAAGTAACAGGTAAGTAGGCTTAACCTAAAAGAAACGGGATATTAAAGTAATAAAAACGGCTTAAATAATTATCTAAAACGAGTAGCTAATAGGTAAAGCTAGCAATAATGTAAAAATTGTGTTAGCATATAGTTTAAAGTTAAAACTAGTGGAAGAGTTAGAGTCAAAGTAAACCCACTCTCAGGTAGGACAAAGTCTACAATGGCTTCTACAGTGTGTCAACATAAAACACAACACTGAATAACATCCAGTTTCAAATAAGGATACATGAGTCTATTTTGCTGGGCTGTGGAGGTACATCACACCAAAAAAGGCTTGGTGACCACTGATTGTTCTGTAGAGTGTTTCTCTGTGTATTGTGCCCTCTAGTGGCTGCCTGGTGCTGTGTCTGTGCCTGTCTGTGGTCACCCTGCTGTTACAGAGCCTGTGGGTGCCACTGGAGATGACCAGAGATGATCCTGCAGGGAGCTCACCCGAGGATCTGGGTAACTCATACACACGAACACAGAGTTTAGTTTACAAGTGGATTTAGTTTCCTATTAAAACTTTTCTGAAAATGCAAAAATGGTAATACATTAGCGCGCACCCACATTACCATAGTTTTGGGCAACAGTGATTATGAAAGAAGCTCTTTGTGTGCAGAGATTAAGATCTGACCTGACTGATTTGCCAGTGTTATATGAAGATTTGTACACAGTTCCCGGTGGGCCCTCCCAGGCGTCTGACAGTTGTGGGTTTGTGGCCAATCCCAAAATCATTTGTCTGGCTAAACTGTTTCTCTAAAGGAAGGCATTTAAGATGGTGTAGACAAGGTTGTTTGGGAAGGTTTCTTAATTCACTTCACTTGACTTATATGAAGTGTGGTAATGCCACACATAGGAATACATTTATACATAATATGCTTCTACAGTGAATAAAAATAGCTGTCTTGTGAGGATTAGTAACCAAATATATACACTTAACATAAGAAAGAGCCAGCTCTTTTGTGAAAGACTTGAACAATGTGCCTACCAGTGAATCGGTTTCAAAATGCAACCACAAAAGATGATACTTGTCTAAACATTCCGATGCTTTTCGTCTCAAATTCTAGGAAAATTGTTTTTAGCAGACAGTATAACCCACTCCTGCATTTAAGCCACTGACACACACAGCCACAATTGCTTTGTGCTCTGTGGGACCCACCAGAAGTTGTGTACAAAGAGCCACCCAGCAGTAGTTGTACTGGAAAAAATACCACATGGGAATATGGCCTGTATTTATATAGCGCTTTACTAGTCCCTAAGGACCCCAAAGCGCTTTACATATCCAGTCATCCACCCATTCACACACTGGTGATGGCAAGCTACATTGTAGCCACAGCCACCCTGGGGCGCACTGACAGAGACGAGGCTGCCGGACACTGGCGCCACCGGGCCCTCTGACCACCACCAGTAGGCAACGGGTGAAGTGTCTTGCCCAAGGACACAACGACCGAGACTGTCCGAGCTGGGGCTCGAACCGGCAACCTTCCGATTACAAGGCGAACTCCCAACTCTTGAGCCACGATCGCCCCACGATAGCTGTACACAATTAATCCAGCTCCCATTTATCACCAAACATTCATCTCTGTGGAAAATCTGCAGTTTTGCAAAGTTATTTGATATATTAAATCTTAAAATGATGCCCGATTGCACTGATATCGTATTATGAAAATTCAGGATTTCTTATTTTTTGCACATTTGTCACACTTACAGTTTTCTGATCATCAAACACATTTAATATTAGACAAAGATGACCCGAGTAAATACAAAATGCAGTTTTTGAAGGATGATTTCATTCATTCATTTCCTACCTGCCCTTTGTGGAAAAAGTAATTGCCCCTCCTATTAAATTATGAAATAACGGTAATTAACCACATTGTTTTGGAAAGCTGAGTTCAGTTTCACTTTCCACACCGTGACCTGATTACTGCCAGACCTGCTGATTCAAGAAATCACTTAAACAGAACATGTCTGACAAAGTGAAGCAGGCTAAAAGAGCTTGAAAATCAACACATCATGGTACGATTTAAAGAACGAACAGAGAGGCAAAGACATTGACATCCAATAGGCTGCAAGAGCTTACAAAGGCTTTCTAAGGTTTTGGGACTCCTGTGAATGACAGCGAGAACCATTATCCAGAAATGGAGAAAACTTGGAATAGCGGCAAATCTTTCCAGGAATAGCAACCAAAATGACTCCAACAGTGCACTGACAACTCATCCAGGAGGACACAAAAGGACCCAGAAAAACATCTGAAGAACAGCAGGCAGGGAGAAAAGTGATGATTCTAAGGGGGCTTGACTGACAGGGGGCCTATAAAAGCGTAGATGTTTGGTTCACAAAGTATTTTGTTTTCTAGCATTAGTTTTGCTTTTTGGGGATTTTTTTTGGCAACAAGGAATAAAATCCAGTGAGCCTCTGACCCAGCGTTTGATCCCTTTGGCATCTCTGCTCCAATTTCCAAGTGTGAACTCTTAGATCCAACCTTCTGAACTGCTTATCTCGCAGAGGCTTATTTTTGATGCACATAATTGATTGAACCATCAATTCTGCTATCTACCAGGAAATCCTGAAAGACAACGTCTGGGGATCAGTTTTTGCCTTTGAGCTCAGTGGCACTTGGGTTAAGCAGCAGGACAATGATCATATGCAAGTGCACCTCTGATTGGCTAATGGAGAGACCCAGTCAATTCTGTACTTCAACCCCAGTAAGATGCGTTAGTATGATGACAACAGGCCTAAAAACCCTCCACTGTGGCTAAATTAAAACAATTCTGCACAAAAGAATGGGCCAAAATTCTTTTTCAGTGTAGTAAAAGAGTATTTGTCTGTTATCACAAAGGCTTGATTGTACTTCTTGCTGCCAAGGTTGACACAACCAATTATTAGGTTTAGCTGCCAACTACTTTTTCACATACGGCAGGCCGGTTTGGATAACTTTTTTCTCATAATAAATGAAATCATCATTTAGAAACTGCATTTTGTATTTATTCCCGTTATCCTTGTCTATTATAAGAATTTGTTTAAGGATTTGTAACATGTAACTGTGACAAATATATGAAAAAAAAGAAAAAGAAAACACAAATGAGGAATGATTTGAATTTGATTTGAAACATTTTCTATTTTCTACGTCTGCGACTTCAAAGTAAAGGTTGCAGACATGTAAACATACAGAAACACATGATTTTACTAGCTGCACAATCTTTACAAGCTTTGAACTATTACAGTCATGCAGTTAGCTTGTAAGTTATTGCAGGGTCCCATGTCCTCTCTCATTGTCTCTGCACCCAAAGGAGCCCTGGCAGGCCAGTAATAACATGTTGACAATCAGCTGAGCAAACAAAGATGAAATGACATTATGATTTTCTCTGTGCATCACAAGTTAAAGCCAGTGTAGCACTCAATATTTGATGCTCAATGCCAGCAAAACTATTTTAAAATGCTCTTTGTGAATAGAATTTTTGTTTGGTCAAGACATCCTCAATATATTACGCTGTTTCACTCTGAACTCTTTAAGCATCATCATCAGTATTTATGGCAACATACAGTCGCTATTTTCACAGTTAGAGGGCTGTCTAACTGAGGTTCTGACAATGAAAAATGCTGCTTTAGGTCACCCAGTTACTATATATTCAGTCCACATGCCCAAACTCAAGAAGTAGAGGGTTCTTGTTTAACTTGTCATAATAGTCAGTGTTGAAAATATCACTGTAACCTACCTCCGTTGGTCAACTAGCAAGATGTATGTATGGTGACGTAGGGCAACTGACCTCTTTTTTCATGTATGTGTACAGTTGTGGTGAGAAGTCTACAACTGTCAGAAGGACTATTATAAATTTGCACAAATCTTTTAATAGGTTTACGGTTCTACAGTGTCTTTTAACTTCACTGGGCCAAGGCCTATTAACTTCTCATTAGCGATCATGGTGGACTACAACTGGTAGTGTTTCTTTGCAAGCATAAAAAGGATTTATTCACCAGCCCTCACTGGATTGACCAATACTCAGAACTTTGGGAAAGTCCAAGGAACTTGGTGAAGAGCTAAGAAACAGAATTGTAGATTTATACAAGTTGGAGCCATTTCTAAACAGCTGCGGATTCCAAGGTCATAATTTAGACAGTTATACGTAAGCACAAGTTATTCAGATGTGTCACCACTTTGCAAAGGTCTGGAGGAAGACTCAAACTGTCACCCTTAGATGAGAGGAAATCGGTTAAGATAGTTAGGAAAACCCCATGAACCAGGAAGGTTCAAGTCTGCCATGAATGGGAAACTGCTGGAACACCAGCGTCACCGTCAACACTGAAATGAATCTTACTGAGAAGGTGCAGACCAAAAAATCAACACCATTGACCTCGACTGAAGTTTGCGTCTGCCTACGGGGACAAGCCTCCTGTAGAAAAGTTTGATGGTCAAACAAGTCAAAAAAATTGAGCTAGTGGTCACAATGACATGAGGTATGTTTGAAGGTATAAAGGTGAGGTTTTCAAATTTAAGAACACTACAGCAACTGTTCAGCATGATGGTGGTAGCGCGGTGCTTCGGGGCTGTTTAGCTGCCAGTGGTACTGGTGCATTGCACGAAGTGGATGGAGCAGTTAAAAAAAGAGGACTACTTCCAGATTCTTCAACTACACCTCACATCAACAGTTAGAAGATTGGAGCACATAGAAACACAAGTGGGTGTTCCAACAGGACAATGATGCCAGACACACAACAAAACTGGTTCTGGAACGGCTAAAGAAGGATAACATTAAGCTGCTGGAATGGTGTTTCCAAAGCGCCGAATTCACCCCTGTTAAAAATTTGTGGACAACACTTAAAAGCTGGATCCATTTCAGGAAACCAAACAATTCAAATCAACTATACTAATTCTGCCTTGCAGAGTGAACTAATTATGCCATAAATATCTGCTCGAGGTGGAACTTGCTATGGGAAATTTAACCAACTATTAGTGGGGTTGTATGTGGGTCTTTATGTATACTTTGACCCTTTGACGATCAAAGAAAATTCAACATTTAAGTCAGTAACAGTTTGTGCTACTCAATCATATCTACCCTTGAAAAAGAAAAGTTCAAAGAAATCATTAAAAGTCCAAAATTCATGCCCATGAGGTGGGGATGTAAACTCCTAACCATGACTGTAAATCACCTCAGAGACTTTTCTTTTTGCTTGATTATTATTATTATTATTGTTGTTTATTTAAATTTTTGATTTATTAGATAGCGATAGTGAAGAAAGACAGGACAGCAGAGTAAGAGAGTTTGAAAACATGCAGCAAAGGGCTGTGGGCGGGACTCAAACCCAGTCTGCTTCAAGTCCAACCGGCAAACTGGAACGCTAAAGAGCCTTTTCTAAAGCACGTGAGGTCAGTATTTTGAACTAGCGTGACCTCTAATAAAGAATGTGCTAGCATTCGCTAAATAGACTGGTCTCCCTCCTGGTTCATCATTCATTGTTGCTCAGTCAGGAAACCTTAAAGTCACATTTTAACCCACTGAGTTTGCTATTTCTTGGGGTTTATGGGACAAGGTTTGAGCAAATAAGTTTAGTCAAATAAAATGCAATAGTGCTCTTTGTAGTGAAAGAGTGTGTTTTTATGAATACCTTTATTTAATAGACTAATAATATTCATTTTAGACTTAATAATACCACTTCTAGATTACAACATGTGACATACTCTATGCGTATACTTTAAATTACAGGTCAGCGTGGGCTTAGCTTTCGTAACCTGGCTCTTCGCTTGGAGGCTTTGAATACTCAGGTACAGAGGCTGAGCAGAGAGAAAGATGGCTCCAAGCTGATCAGAAATGATCTCACTTTGCTGCTGCAAAGGTATTGATTTGTGGAGCTCAGTATTTTTAAATATAGATATGACTTATAGTGCATTTTTGTGGTCACACATAGGTTTCTGCTTTTTCCCAGCTTCAGACAGGACCAGCAAGGTTTGGCTCGTTTAGTAGAAAGAGAGCTGAAAAGAGTATCGCAGAGGCTTGATCAGCTCAGCCGTCACCACCAACACCACCATCAGGCTGAAGCTCCAACACCACTTGTTAGCCGTAGATCACACACAGGTGAAGTCCAGGCTTTTATCACTTCCAATATTTCTTAAATGACTTAACATGGTTTACATTGTGTTTACAATGATCAACCTCTTAAACTAAAACGATGATACAGGAATAGACTTACCATATGTGCTCACTTTTTTCTTGACTTCAAGAGACAGTTTTGTATTTCATTGTTCAGTTTGGATTTGTTATTTCCTGTGGGTGGAAATTGTAAACTTGTACGCAATGGTTTGGGCACCCATGAGCAAATAATATTTGCTTTAGTGGTAATTATTGAAGTAAAAATAAAGGGAATACAACCCCTACAATAACAAACAGACATTAAAAATAAATCTTTCTTCAAATGTAAACACATCAAAAATTGTGATTAGGAATTTTCTGCTCACTACAGCTTCAAAGCTACAATGAGCAAATTTGCTGACTCTAAACCTTGTTCTGACCAAAAGTCGCTCTAAGCAGCTAAAAAACAATTCCAGCTTGCAGTTTCTGTAGGAATTAAAATGAGGGAGTTGTGGTAGTCAAGATGAGATCTGGGAAAAAAACTTCTGGAAGAAACTCTATCTGCTGAACCAAAAGACAAAGTAAACCCTGTCATATTCAGTCATATGCATAGGGGCTGTGAGAAGGTTTAGCTGGCGTGGACACCTAACTATGTGAATGTCATAACTTCAGAATGAGACAACGTATGAGTTTCAAATTTATACCATAGGGGTATCTACTAAAAATCTTGGATGAGTTCGAATCTCAGTGACCTTGACCTCAAGGTCAGAAGAAGTTTTCTGAAAATCTTGTGAATATTTTAAATTTCATTCAAATATTCACAGCACAGGTGTGTCTACTAGGAGGCTGAGGGGTTGTGCTGGCAGTTGTCAGTGTTTTTGAATCATCCTAGTGTCAAATCATATGTGTCAAGAATTAGAAGTCAGTTGTACAAGTCTGAAGTTACTCACACATTTTATTTTTTATTTTATTTTTGTAGAGCAGATAATGCTTTTTGTTTCAGACACATCTCCTCATTAGCCAATCATCACCTACACACTTCAAAAGCTGTCTGCCAATTTAGGAGGTCAGTAATTTGATCCCCAGCTCCCGCATCTGTACATCAGAGTATCCTTGGGTAAGGTACTAAACTCCAAGCACCCTGTAATGGATCCATCGGGTTTGCATATGTCCATGAGTGCTAAAAACCTATCTATGGATGCAGCTCATAGAGTTCTTTGCATGCTAGTTGAGAGTAAAAAAGTGGGTAACACTTTACAATGCAGCCCACAACTAAGGGGGTAATTCCGCTGTAATTAAATGGCTTTATAATGTATTTTATTTGGAATTGCAATTATATTTGCCTAAAACTACTTAAAGGCAGTTTCACTAGAAGAAGGAGGTAAAAAGTCAGGTTTTTACAGGAAACAAAGAAATAATGATACTGTCAGTAACTTTAAGTATTACGTTATTCATTGGTAACATAGCGGAAAAATAAACAATATTTCTCCTTCTTTCAACATAAGTATTCGGTAAATATAGAGTGGCTTAACTTTGCCTACCTTTGATTATTTGTAGATAAATATATTTACACTGTAATTTCAATTAAACACATTGAAATCCTATTTAATTACAGGAAAATTGTGCCCTTAGTTATGGGCTGTATTATAAAGTGTTACTGTCAATTGACTATGCACTAAACAGGGAAAGGAAAGAACACTTACGATGGCCAAATCGAACAATTTTAAAAAAAATTGAAGTTACTACTGGGTTTTTTCAAATCAGTGACTGAATAGAAACAAACACAGACGGTGGCTCGTGTGTCCTCTTTTGAAAGAACTTCTCTTATCTGCTGCACTAACAGCTTCTACATGTAGCCTCATCATAAAAGTCCTCGTGTGAACAACGTAAAGCAATGTCTGGATATAAAAGACTTCTTTGAGGGACAAATAAATGCTAAATTGTGCCATTTGGCCAAAAAAGCCATAGGAATTTGATAAAATAACACCTTGGAAATCTCAAAGGAGTGCGAGCTCAAGCTTTTGGAATGACTCCCACTGTTCTCTGACTTCAACATTATTGAAAATCTGCAGGGGAATTTTAAACATATACAAGACCACCTAAAACTATTTCAGGAGTTATAGTTATCCGCAGGACATTGCAGACAAAATAAAGACAGACTTTTAGCTTGATACAAAACAGATGATAATTAATTATTAAAAATATATTCAGTATAATATTTTCAGTATAACAATCAAGTATATTTAATTTTATCAGATTCCATTAAATTTAACTATTTAACTATGAAACAAAATGACATGGAAATTTACATATAATCAAATTATTAGTTAGTTCAAGTTTTCCAAAACCAAATTTGAGGAGATTAAATTTGGCTGACTGGGTCTCACTGAGAGGTCGGGCATATAAATCTTTCCTAGTTTAACTTAATTTTAGAGTTCCCTTCATTAGAAGCACTCCATTGTTCAAGATCCAATAAGAATTATACTTTTTTAAATTAAACTGTGCTTTGGCTATACTAAATAATAAAAAAAATCCCAATAATTGGCTGGTTACTTACCTCTCTGTGGGTGCCTGTATTGGTACAGTGATCCTGTGAGCCAAATGTATGGTTCACAGCTTTAGAAAAGGTTAACCACACAGTGAAATTAACAAGCTGTGATAATAGAAGGTGTGAATGGTGGGTCTACAGGTCAGTGTGTGTGCAGGTGGTTATGGGGGATGAAGTCCTTGAATAGAAGTTTAACAAGTCCCACATAGCCAGCACCAATCCACTGGGCATGGGGAGGGAAAAAAGTTTACGTTACGACCCTCCTGTGAGGTGTCAGGTGAGAGTCGGGTTACGCACGCACGCCAGTTAGCACGCGAAGGATTGTATGGGTATGTGAGTGCTGGGGATGGGTAAGTATGATTCAAAAAGTGGAATTCATATAGTTTAGGCCACACAGACACCATCACATGGATATGCTTGTAGACACACTTCTGTGGACATGCATGTCCACATGTGCCACCCGCATATTCAGAGGCACACACTTCCCACCAATACCAGCCTATTCGCCCCTCACCCTCTCCCTCCTACATTACCTCACACTCATAAAATATGTCTGAATTACCCAGGAGTCCTTTCACCAACTTGTCTGCCCATACTCCTGTTTTTGCAGAAGGTTTTTTTTTTTCTTTCTGCTGTGCTCGTATAGCATAACACTGTTTTTAGGTGCTCATGCTTCAGCTCAGCCTACAAGTTTTCTTCTCTCTTTCCCTTTTTACTAGGTTGTTTTACACAGTTAAGGACTGTGTACTTTGGCAAGGCCAGCATGGTAAATGGGAATGTTTGGTAGGAGGCAGGTGTGTCAGGTGTGCGTGAGTGCATTCATTCCAGTTGATTGACATGGGCTAGAGATGGTGGGGGGTTTACGGGAAAGGGTCTCTGAGAGCACTAGTCTAATACCTCATACAGGCATGGCAGCACTATACATTGTGCTGATGGCTGCTACTCACTGTGCACATTTCAGTCAAGAGGTTGTATATCAAAGTTATTGTCCGCTGTTCTTCATTAGCCGAGTTGAGGTGACTCAACAGTATACGTTTTGTTACTGATGCAGGAATTAAAGAATAATGGTGCATTCAAAAGTGCCATAAAAAGGAAAAAAAAGTTTGACGGTTAATATGTTACCCCACAGGGTCCAACGAGAAGTGTCAAGTGCCAGTGGATCCTGCATATCCAGTATGTGCAGAGAAGGTGGAGGTGAGAAAGTGGAAATGTTTTGGAGTGCAAATTTAATTGGTGTATTGGAATGCTTATGCCCATATTAAAATGCTTTAAAAAAATATATATATATATATATTTTTTTTTTACTATGAAGACATCCTAGCAAACATTTCAACCTTGAATGACCTTTGTCAATATCTATTTCTGGTCAAGAGACAAGACTTCCATTTCTAATCCTACTTAGCTAATAGATTTGTTGTTGTATCAGCTCCATCCATGGCTTTATGACGCAATATCTGTAACTGGCCAATATGTTAAATTCATTATGTAACACAAGTGTTGTGCATTTTCTTAAAAACCCGATAATACTAGTCCTTGTAAATGGAAAAGATGCTCTGTGGCTGTCCATACACAATCAAGTTCTAAGCAAATTAGTTGTTGCTGACAAATGCATTTAGTTCCTTCATTGTAATCACCTGATCTATACTTTTCTCTCTCTTCTCTCTTTGTGAGAGGGTGTGACTAAAGCTCTATTCTACTGTATGTGGAAGCAATGTCAAAAATTTGTTCATCTAAATGTGGAGTCTTCTTTACACACTAAGGTTAATTGTGGAGTTCCACAGGGTTCTGTACTGGGACCAATTCTATTTACATTATAAATGCTTCCCTTAGAAGGTACACCATATATTTTTATTGTTATACAGATGACACCAGCTCTTTCTACCCATGAAGCAAAATGACACACAGCAATTAGTTTATCTGCAGGAATGTCTTAAAAACATAAAGACCTCTAACTTCCTGTTTCTAAATTAAGATAAAAGTAAGGTTATTGTACTCTGTTCTAAAAATCTTAGAAACAGTATCTAAAAAGGTACCTACTCACTCTCTACCTAAAGACGCTCTCTCTTTCATTTTTAATATAGCATATAGTTAGGGCTAGGTCAGGTGACCCTGAATCCTCCCTTAGTTACACTGCAATAGGCCTAGTCTGCTGGGGGCTTCCCATGATGCACTGAGCCTTTATTCTTCACTCCTCTGTTTTCACTATTTGTGCTTATGCACCATTTTGCATTTAATCATTAGTTTTATTAATCTCCAGCTCTTTTTCAGTGTGTCTTATCGTTCTCCCCTCACCCCCAACCTTAGCATGAATCTGGATCTGCCAGAAGTTTCTTCTTGTTAAACTGAAGTTTTTTCTTCCCACTGTTGCGAAGTACCTGCTCATAGGGAGCCACTGTTGGGGTTTTCCCTCTATTATTATAGAGTCTTTACCTTATAATATGCTGCTGTTGCGATTTGGTGCTATATAAATAAAAGTGAAATGAGTTCAGTTGTATTGAAATGAATGGCAGTGAATTGAATGTGTCATTTATGGTTCAGTTTTTGCAGTGTACAAAGACCAATTTTGATCAGGTAAAAAACATGTTTAATAACATAACAAGTTTCTCTGTGGCAGTTCCTGCAGGCTCAGTGGCAGTCAGACCCCTGTTATGCTTTTTATGGAGTGGATGGTACCACTTGCTCCGTACTGACTTACCTCAGCCAGACAGAGGACTTTTGTCCCCCTCGAGATGGAAGAAACCACTCTAGTCTGCCATGGCATCAGAAACCTCAAGCTCACACAAAGAAGGTAGCTTCTTGATGCGCCTGTGTATGTCGATGTGGAATGATGACATTTTCACTGCTTTCATGTTATAATCATTTGCAGGCTGAGATACGTAAATCTCTACTCTCACTGTATGAGGCGATCAGCAACAACAGCAGCCCAGCAATGAAGTTTATCCGCTCCAGAGTGGAAAAAATGTCTGAACGGTGGATACAGGCTGGTCTGAGGATGAAAGAGAGCAGCAATAACACAGTCTCCACACAGATGAGGGTATATGTATATGTATAAGTGATTAAAGTTTATTGAGGTATTTCATTTTATATAGTCGATAATCAATGAAATAATAATTTGGGACTTTATATACTTTAGGTGCTGCTTTATCCTGGTGCCCTATCTGGAAGTGTTGGCCAGCGTTTTGAAGCAATGGTGGAAAGAGGTGGTCCTTTAGGAGAACTGGTTCAGTGGGCAGACCTCAGCGCTTGCCTAACAATCCTTGGCCACAACCTGATCTTCAGCACCTCACAGCACCAACTTCACAGGTTACTACTACTAATTTTATTTATTTTGACATAATTTCATTAGTTAATTGGACTGAATAGGATTTATACTCTGGCATCACTGATATATGATGTAATTACAGACCTTAAAGCCAGCCAGTTTATACATGTTTTACACAACCTTGTGTTTGTCAGTCCAGCTAATCTGTGATTACTTTACACTGTAGTGATGAAAAGAGGGAAACAATATTATTGTTGTCCTTTCTAGAACCTGACTTGTGTTTGTTGTGATTAATTCAGCTTGATAGGTGCTGCTCCAGGCAGAGGCAGCTGTCCGATCCAAAGGCCCCTCACCTTTGACCTCATTTATACCGACTATCATGGCCTCGCTCACCTCCAAGGAGCCATGGGACTGGCTTTCAAGCATTACCAGTACATAAACAATTTTCTGGATCATATAGGAAGTACATTTCAAGTCCTTTCTTATGAAGACTTTTGATGTAGTCATAAATGATTTAGAAACTACCATTATTGTCATTAATAAAAAAACCCACCAGTAATAATAAAAAATTACTTCTGTTTTCCATAAAGTTGAACTTATATGACACGTTTATACAGCTTGCTTTAGTGGATTATTGTTTCAGTGTGAAGTAGGAAAACTGTGAGATCCTTTAGTCAAAGCAATTAAACATTTACATGTTGTTTTGTCCAGTTTTTATTGGCCCTGATATTTGCCCGACACATTCAGGGCTTTGTGAGATTTTAAATATAAGTATGTCACATGATGATTGCAGCTTTATGCGCCAAAACATGTCGTAATAAGTATATCAATGAATGACAAAAACAACAATCTTTCTAGGTGTCGCTTCAGAATCTTGGACTCATTTGGCACTGAACCAGCCTTTAACTTTGCGAGCTACGCACGTAGCCATGGATATAAAACGCTGTGGGGCAGCTGGGATCTCCAACCTCCACAGTACATGACCATGTTCCGTAAGTTATTTTGTACGCATGTTGATTTGTACCTATGTCTTTCCTACGCATGGATACAATTATCTTAAAATGCACTCTAAATATATGTCTCCAATGCAACCCTCTAAGTGTCCTTACAATGAGAGGATTAACAGCTAAGGTTAAATAAACTTCGTGCCCAGACGGAGCTTTCATTCCAACACCTCTCCTTGTCATCTTTCCCACCCTGCCGGGAGATGGAGAAAAGCTGGAAGCCCTGGGCCGAGAGCCACTCTTCATCCCTCAGCTTGGAACACTGTTTATTTGTCCTGCTAAAGGAGGAGGGGGGTGTTAGTTGAGGATGTGAGAAGGACCAAAAGACAGAAAGAAAACAAAACAGAAGAAGGACACGGTAGGACGAAAGAAAAGAATGAAGTTTGAGAATGTTTAAGCATTTATGCTTCTGTTTTGCAAAAGCCCAGAGGAAGACAGTTGACTGAAGGATTACAGGAAACAAGAACTGTAAACAGGCAGAAGAAACCAAAGGTCGCTTCATTCACTCCCAGCTTTTCTCCAAACCCCCACAAGCTGCATGACCATAGCAGTGTTTCATTGCATATCACTACTATATCTGATAGGTGTGTGTGAAGCGGTGAACCCAGACAGACGCTGGAGACAAGTGGAGCTGAAAAGGAGCCAGCAGGAAATTCTGTGCTGGGTGAATGAGGGGAGATTTGGCAAAGGTCTTTTAAACAAGTATCTTGAGACAAGAGGACAGCACACACACACACACGCAAAGGTTACAAATCGATGTTTGAACACACACCTTTGCTGGCACATTCCTTTTAAAGTAAATACTCATCTCTCACACCTACCTCAGTGTGTCAGAGGGCAGCAGGGTGGCAGCTGCCTATCCAAACACCTAACCCTCTTATATATGTGGAGTTCTCATTTCCTTCAGCGGATGATTTATGCTGCACAGCATGTTTTTCCTCTTGCAGAATTTTAATATAAACTGTTATTCAACTATAGTCCTAATAAGCGTCCTCGGCAATAGTAGCCTTCACATTTCTCTCAATCAGCTTATTTTTTATGTCATCTTCAGAGCAGATAGGTTCATAAGTGTTCACCGTCTTTGATCACAGTTTAGTTAAAATAATCACCAAGTTAGGGAGAAGTTTCTGCTCAAGTCTGTCAGCATTTCTACCAAAAACTTACTGGACTGACTTGCTGCTTTACCTTTTTCTCTCTGAACGTAGCTGAAGTTCAAACCCTTGAGTAATTATTTTTAGATCTCCTTTAAGTCCTCTTTGCTCTGTTCTCTCCAGCTCACACTCCTGATAATTCCTTCCTGGGCTTTGTGAGTGAAGGGACCGTTAGGAAGGGAAGCGAGCTCGAGCCAGTGAGCTACAAGAAAGACAGGATAGCGGTGGTCTATGGAAAACAGGACTACATGTGGCAGGTATGAGGACCAAAAAAAGTGCATATATACCAGAAAACAAACATTCACAACAAATTATGCCAAGAAGTCCTCTACTTGATGGCTATGAGAGGTTAAATGCACTGCAACCTTAGGAAAACACCAACTATTAAAAAACACACAACACAGCTGAGCTTGAATAAAACACAATGGCAGTAGAAAAAAAAACACGTTGACATTTCCTTAAGTTGCAATGCGTTTGAAACCTCGTGGCCACCATATCGACTAGATCTTAGTTTGTACGTCACCCAAAACTCAAAAATACTTGTTAATAGACAGACCTGTAGAACTACTTATTTAAGGATTCAGGTTTTGGTGTGAACTGCACTGGAGATATTGGGTATAAAAATGTCTGCCTTCTCTCGAGTACGATAGTTCTAGATGGTACTGCTAATAACTGCGTTACTAAGGGTACTAGCCACTTGAATTGTTGAAAAGTTAAAAGATAAGTAAATCTGAAGCTCCATGGCAATTGTTGTGAAGCTTTTGCCTTTATACCAAACTATGCCTGCCAGCCAAAGAAAACATGCAACTAGCAAACCTTATAGATGAGACACGGAGCATTAATGTCAAGTGTCTCATCAGTGGTAGATAGCTAGGAGGGGGGCAGAGGGCATCTTCCAGTCTACATGTTACCAAATATTGTTGAGCAAACTTTGGAAACACTGAATCCCTGATTTCTCTCGATGCAACTATTAGGTTGAGCTCACTTTAAAGAGCAGAAGTAATTCCAAGTAAATGGGTGAATATGGCTTATGTGGTGTGATTTCATTCACTTAGAGCAGAACAGTTAAATACCATACTATATAAATACCACTCCATTTATTTGCATGCTTGCCAGGTTGGTGGGTTCACTTTGGTAGAACGGAAATGGTTCTGTTGCTCACAGAAAGTTTGTGGCTTTATTTGAGAAACTTGATCGTTATTTCTGTTTTTAAAAGGCATTTTTTGGAACTTTTTTGGAGAACCACAAGACTGGCGATGTTTATTCCGTTATGCTGATGTGAAGGCAAACATTTCTACAGCCGGTATCACCAAAATTGGGAAGCTTACACCAGATGGATAAATAGCGCCACAGGACAGAAGAAAATATTTATATCATGTATATTTTGGTTTTGAACACGCTTGAATTTCATGTACTCAGTGATCCATCTGTTTTTTTTTTATTGTTGTTGTTTTTCTGTGTGTAATCTCCAGGGTAAATATGAGTATGTGAAAGTGATCAGTGAAGAACTGGAGACTCACGCCACAGTCTATCAGCCTCCTGGACACACATTGCATCTGCCCAGCTTCATCAGAAACCACGGACTGCTGACTCAGGAACACTTTCAACAACTTCTCCGTAAAGCTAAGGTCTAATTAAAGCCGATCACAGTGTAGAAAGAGAATTATTTTGGATAACCTGCAATATTATAAATCTTCCCTTTCAGTTGTTTGTAGGTCTTGGCTTCCCCTATGAAGGTCCAGCACCTATTGAGGCAATAGGAATGGGATGTGTCTTTATTCAGCCTAGATTTGACCCTCCACACTCATCAGCCAGCAATGACTTCTACAAGGGCAAGCCCACCACAAGACAGGCAAGCAACTCTTAAATCATGGGGATAAAACGTGAAAATAAATATTTTATATTATCTAAATTGTTATTTCATTGTTGAATCCCAAATACTGGCAATATTTTATCAAAGATATAATAACAGTTTATAATTTTCAATCGCAGATCTCCTCCCAGCACCCTTATGCTGAGGAATTCATTGGTAAACCCTACGTATGGACTGTGGATGTGACCAACAAGAGTGACATACGCGAGGCCGTCAAAGCGATTCTAAGAAGTGAGGTAGTTTCCACTAAATATACTAAATCACAGTTAAACTGTATGCTCAGTACAAACATGCACACATATTATTTCCCCAAATTCCATTTAAGGTAGCGTGTTTATGTCTGATCTTGCAGGTGAAGTCCTTCACTCCTCAGGAGTTCACTTGTGTGGGAATGCTGAAGCGGGTCCTTGGTTACATCACTCACCAGGTACAAAGATTTAAAAAAGAGATGGAGTATTATTATTAGGTGGTACCCCAGCAAATTTCAGTCATAAATCAGATTTATGAAGTATGTTCTGAAATGTGTGGAAATCTCAAAAAAGAGTGCATGCCTTTGTAAACCTATCAGTTGACGGCTCGGTGCCTTTGTTGGAATTTTTGTGGTCAGAATTTTACACAATAATTTGGGGCTTTTAATTGTTTTTTTAACTGTTCTTTCCAGAGTGGAATGATTGTACAGCATACATCTTTAATGACTTTACAAATGAAAAATTGGGTGCACAAGTTGGTAATTATTTTGGATTTTCTCTAATCCTCACAGGTTTTAAATTAGACTTACAGTCTCAGGTGTATACAGACACTCACTTCAATCTTTTAATAAGTTTAAGGTTCTACAGGGTCTTTTAACTTGACCAGGCCAAAGCCTATTAACATCTCATTAGTGATCATGATAGCCTACAACTCTTTCTCTTTGCTGGCACAAAAAGGATTTGTTTGACAGTGCTCACTGGATTGACCTCAGAACATTGGGAAAGTCCAAGGAACTCAGTGAAGAGCTAAGAAGGAGAACTGTGGATTTACACTAGCTGGAGCCATTTCTAAACAACTGCAGATTCCAAGATCATAATTCAGACAGTTGCACGTAAGCACAAGTTATTCAGATGTGTCACTTCTTTGCAAAGGTCCTCAAAAGGGAATATGGGTTCAGGAACAACGCAGGAAGCATGAAGGCTCAAGCCTGCCCTGAACTTGAAACTCCTGGAACACCAACGTCACTGTAAAGCGATTTTTTACATCACAATGCTCCAAAATTGATGCATTCAAGCTTGACTAAAAATTTGCAGCTGCCCACGTGGACAAGCCAGATGTCATCTGGAGAAATGTTTTATGATCATATGAGACAAAGATTAAGCTATTTAGCCACAGTGACAAGAGGTATGTTTGGAGGAGTAAATCTCAGCCTTTCAAACCTAACAACACTGTATCAGCATAATGGTGGTATCATCATGGAGGTCTACCTCCAAATTCTTAAACTTTACTATTGGGTCCTATTGGATATTCCAATAGAGCAATACCATAACATTCATGCCCATGATGAGTGCATGGAAACTTCTGATCACAACTGCAGTTCATATGAGTAAAGTATTGACAGAAAAAGATTTCTCCAGTTGGGGATCTATCAAACAGAATATTATCAAAGATGTGTGTATATGTGTATCTATATAATAGATAAATCCAGATTTTAAGTTAAAGTCAGGATTGTTTCCCAGGCCTTTGTTCCCTTATGAGCGTTAGATAGAGGAGCGATTTTTCAGTTCTTGCTTGGTTCAAACTCTAATCGTTGTCAGTTTTTTCCTTCTCTTTGTTATCATCAAGAATTTCTGCAGTAAATCTGTCCCTACTTGGCCACCAAAAAGTGCTCTGAGGGTTCACCTCGCTCCACTGGGTCAGTCCTGTGTGAGTGTGTGCCGGCGGTCCTCCCTCATGTGTGAGCCGGCTCTGTTTCACCACCTCAACACCCCTGCTGCGTTTACCAGGTGAGAAATTAGCAAACACTGACACATGCACATCTGGAAACAGACCGAGGACAAAACATGAATAAAATCATGTTTGAGATCTCTTGGTGGTAATAAGATCCGAATGTTAATGCTGTGTAACCTTTTCAGCAGATAAAAATCAGTAATCACCGCCGTTTTTCTTGTACAACATCCAGGATTCCCCATAAAACTGAACAAGATCACAAAGACACCATTAAACGAATACAATGCAATATAGTAGAATGTTCTATAGTATCAACACGTACACTACTGTATATGCAAATAAATTAATTACCTTTTTTAAATTTGCAGGCTTGGATTAAGTTGCGCCAGCGTGCTGCCGGAACTCAACCACTTGTTTCCTTCTTACAGTCCTTGGGGTCGTCAGTGTGGCCTCCAGCAGGAGTCCCTGCTTTTCAGTTGTGCTGGCTCTGATCCGTCCTATCGCAGACTGTGTCCCTGCAAATCTCACCTAACTGGATAGGTTGCAATCTGTCTTGACTGCCTCTAAGTAACACTGAAAGAACTCAGGAAAAGCACCAAAGAGCCATCTGCAATGCATGCTGTACAGATAAAGATTCCCAACAAAAGGGAGACAGCTCTCCCGCCAAAGCCATTGAAAGCCTTGCAGTCATGTTTGTGTACGTGTACACATTCAAATAACATACAATTCTGAGGAAGTAACCATGACTGAATGTCATTTCCTTAAAGTACTTGACAAGCTGAAGAACTGTAAATCCAAGGCCTGATTTCCCTTGGCGTCAAGTGTTACTGTAGCTTAAGAAAAAAAAGCCTTTGAATGCCGGCAATATGCACCTCAGGGAAAATGTGTTTACATGTGTTTAAATCAAGTGGAAACTGGCACCGGCGAGTACAAAAGCAGACCAGTTTACATCAGTTCTTCGCCTACTCTAGTCATACACAGTGCAGTAGGCTTCAGTGTTATGCAAAATAAGTATCTAATTATTCATTCGCTTACAGTAATGTATCACAGTGGCCAGTGCTGCATGGGATTGCTGCTCATGTTGCTCCTTCATGCTTTGCTGGCTGCAGATATTAGCCTGGGGCCTTAAAGGAGAGAGGGTGACAGCCTAAGTGATGAGGCTCATTATCGGAGTGAATCATGGATAACCTCTGAATCCATTTGGGAGGTCACAGCCGTATGACCATTATTATACTGTCATCTAAACCATTGGTTCCCAACCATCTTTGACTTAGGAAACCCCCTCAGCTCTTTTTAAATCTATGCCCCCCCCCCACTATTGCTGTAGGAAGGAACTCATTGTTTGTCTTTCAAATGCAAACTTTATGTCATTTAAACCTGGGAAAAAAGTCAGTTAAGACAGAATTAATTGTATTTTCATGATTTTTTTTAAAATAGAAATTAAAGCTTAAAATGATTTTAATCACAACGAGTGTCTCATTTTGCACTGGGGTTCCAGGATTATTCCCCGATTGCTTCATGACTTACAGATTTGTTGAGAGCCCAAGGGTGCGTTACGGTCCAAGCTGATATGAACAAAAATGGAAATCTTACATATGTACATTTAATCATTTCCATTCTGAAAGCTCAAAGAGTCACACAGGCTTTTCTCTTCACCCCCACCAACCGGTTGCACAACTACACGTGAAAGAAACAAATGATAACAAGTAAAGGTGAAACTACAGCTCACAGTCAGTGATGAGGTGCTGCACTTACAAAGCACAGCTGTTAGCAAAGATGGCTCCAGCAATGGCAACAAGCTGCTGTTTTGAGCTTGACTGATGTGAGGTTTTTCTTGGAAACAACACGCTGATGAACTGGTGGAAAAAGAGACCTTTTTTTTTGCTTCGGTACATTTTATGTGACCAGAACATGTTGTCACTCAGAGATCAGACCGCTCAGGCCTGCGACAACAAGACTAGTTGACAACATGATAGACTAGTAAATGGCTGTGAAATCGTCCACAAAAACAATATTTGTGACAGCTTTTGTGCATTTCTGTGAATTTGTCTGGCTCTGTCAGATGTGACTTTTGCAAAATTAGCTGGACCCGTCCAAAGATGATGGAAATGGACTTGTATTTAAGTCAGGAGGGTATTTGAAACAAAGGAAAATTAAAGTTGTTTTTGACTCGGAGGGACGTCTCTGAAACTAATTTGTGGAAAATCGTGTGTAATTTCTGGATGAGTCACATTGACTCATATCAGTTACATGTGTTATGGCATATAAAAGCTGTCACTCACTTCCCAGGTGGCTGATAGCAGAGGGTTCAAACCGAGGCTTCAAAAACAAGCCCAAGTACGGATGGAGCAAGCCGGGACAAAGGTTGTAGTGTTCCCCATGGTTGCCTACTGACCTCATGCTGATTGGGTATACGCGTGCAGAACTTAAACAGTCCATATGTTTGCCAGAAACCAATTTGATTGTAGACATTGTGTGATTTGGATGATAATTTGAGGTCTGTGGTTATTGCTGCAAACTGCAAATTTGTACCTCCAGTTCAATAGTATTGATAAGCAGCACCACAAAATATGATAACAACTAAAGCATATTTTAAACAGCTGAAAATGTTGGTGCTATAGACTAACTGACTGATTGGAAACTGATTGCAGTGCATCCTGAGGGCAACAATATTGTCTATGCAAGATTTTTTTTTGTTCAGTGCAATATCTGTACAGTCAGTGCTTGAGACCGTGCAAATTCAAGGTTATGTTGGTGTAGTGAGGGAAAAATTCACAGACCAAGGTGACCAAGACCAAGGTGACAGGTTACGAAGTGTTAAAACTATAACTACTAGCTTCTAGCTTGAGCCAATGACTGCCAGGGTCCTGACTCTGATTCACGCCCACACATACTTGAATCGGTGACATCACAGCCAGCAGAGTTGGTAAACACTAGGCTGCTTGGCTAGCTAAGCTAACGAGTGTTAAAAAGTAAACAGAAGAAAAAAAAAAAGATGTCTACACGTAAGTTTCAAGTGTCTCTCCCCCATACTTTAGGATAGCAGCATTTAGTTTAGCATTTAGCATATGTAATCTTTATTATCTATCCATTGAGCACTGTCTTCCTTTTGTATCCTCCTTTTCCTCTTCTTTCTTTTTTTCTTCTTTTTCATTTCCACTCTTCTTCATTGTCAGCGAGTGGCCTTTGTAGCAACTATTAATGATGTTGGTGAAGTCCTGTGGGATCCCCTTCTTAGGTCAGGTCTCGCCAACTGTCACTGCAAACTTTGGACATTGTTTAAAGTTTGTCTACCTTGCTTGGTGGCAAGTAGTAACTCTGCTTAGATTGACATAAAACAATTATGAAGCCCTATCTTGAGCATTTTGGCCATGGGTTTTTGATGTCATAAGACAGAAGTAGATCTAACTTTGAAAATATATGGATGGCTCTAATTTACAAAATGAGCATCTTGTCCTTAAACCAAATAGGAAAAAGTTTACGGTAGGGTCTTTTTCTCATAGTTGCCTTCATAATCTGACTTGTTGCAGCTTTCTATGTGCCTGAAACCTAAAAAATGAAAAGTTAATGCAGGTTCTAGATGCTTCTTCATTGGCTTTATTTTTCAGATTCAAAACTCCATCTTTTATATACAGTTTTTGTACACCCTATTGTGATGCCAAGTTTATTTGTATTTGAGTCATTATATGACTCAAAGTATATAAGGTTTACAAAAATCCACTGACTTTAGTGTCCTGGGAACCATAAATATCAGTATAAAGCTTTGTTTCTTGGCATTTCCCAAAACAAAGTGACAGAGCAAACAAAAGACTGACACTACCATGCCACCAGCATAGCTAAACCCCCAACAAAACAAAGAAGCAGAAAAAACCCTGTTAATTTTTAATGTTGTATGGTTTGTTTGGAGGAAAAAAACCAAAACAACGGAACCTCAAGGAAACCAAGAGAGGAAACTTTAAGCTGTGTCAGGGTTCATATGCCAGCAGAGATGCAATGATGTTTATCAATGTGCTTCTTAATTTTACACTAGAGAAATTATATCTTTTAGTTACACAGGGACTTCTTTATCTTTTAGCTGTAGACTGTCGTGGCAATTTCAATTTCATTGCCAAGGAAAAGGAGATATTTTGGTGAAGAAAGCTGGAAGACTTCACTCCTATTTATCAAACTTTTGGTTCTGGACAAAACTGAGCTAACACGTTTTATATTTCCTTGTACTGCATCAGGAGTTAGTATCAAGCTTCATACTCAGAATCTCGGGAAGATTTTATACATATTACTCATAAATGTTTGTTTCTTTCTAAGAGTTCCTGGAAACTTTTGAAACTTTTGTTGCTTTATTACATTTGCAGGACTGTGTGCAATCAATCATGGTGTTTACACTGTGTTTCACAATCTTCTTGCGGTGTCCAGTCAGACACCACTTCAGACAGACTTATTTCTAATTTTACTCAATCTTCTGCCCACTTGTCTTAACATTCCTTCTGCTCTTATTTTCATCTCCGCTTCTCCTCATTTCATCTTCATACAAATTCTACAGCCAATATAACAATAGATAAGACAGACTTTATGGTTACAAGGATTTTTAAGGGAACTTTGTGCAGCAAGTTGGGCAAGAACTGCCCTCTTTTTTATTTTGTATTTTTAAAGTGCTGATTGTGCCGGAATTATTATAGGATAGGTACTTAATATCACTGAAACACATCTAGTTTAGTCGTACAGTGTTGTTCACCTGTGTTTCAAAAGTATGCAAACCTACTTCAAAAGGACAGATGTAATACTGCAAGAAAATCTTTGAAATATCTGCTATTTCATCTTGGTTGATTTGCAATAACCTTCTCTATCCTGAAGGGGGCAGTGTGGTTAAACTTGTTGTGCTATGTCATAGCTTATAAACCACATCAACCTGCTGTAGAAATGAGTGACAGAGACGACAAGAAAGACAAACAAACGCACCAAGTGATTTCTGAACATTTTTGAGAGCTACAGCAAGAAAGAGAAAATCTGCAGATGTGTTTGGACAAATGGAGACACTCAAACTCTTCTCTACAGGAAGCGCTCCATTTATTCCACTCAACACACTTGCAAAAAGGAGTAGGGGAGAGAGCGGCTCAACTACCATAAGAAAGCAGCTGCTTTTATTGAAACCTGTTATTGGCGTGCCAAGATTACACTGAACAACAACAACCCTCCTCCCTGGAAGCCAATAAAATGCCGACAACAAACACTTGGCTTGCCTACAGCGCTGTTAGAAGCCACAGAGGTTGGCCTTAATGATATGTGGTAACTATTACAGACTATTAAACAAAATGAATAAAAAAAAGAAAAGAAGTAGAGAAAGAAAAAAAAAAGAAATGGGGCAATCATTGATTTGTTCGGGAGTTGTTTCCAGACCTAATGTAGGTAGCTGACTCATTGTTGGGCAACCTCAAAGAGATGCACCATTTGAGTGTAGCTCACCGATTAACCATGCAAGCAGCTAGATAAAGCAGCAGTGCATTGCCTGATTTGCTGTTACGCCCATCAGGCAATGCACTCACTGCAAGCCTGGGATCTATTGTATATGCTTGAATAGTTGAGGTATAGCACAGGCCTTTCTGTGATTTCTTTCCCCCCCCTCAAACATCCCATGTCAGTATTCTAGCAATCCCATCACACCTGAGTAACTCTGAGGCAGATGTGATCTGGTCCACCTCTCCTGTGCATCTGTCTATTAGCATGTGTGTGTGTGTTCAAAAAAGCTGCTAATGCCATTGTCTTTATGTATGTATTCAACGGCAAGCGTTTTGTGACCTCCAGGGGATAGGCAAGGTCATTCAGGCTGAGACAAATCCACAGCCACATGACTAAATGTGAAATCTGAACTAATATCTAAACCCAGAACACCATGCAGCCAAAAACTCAATAAAACAGTTGCTTATTTTGTTTGGTATGTGCGCTTATTTTATGCTGAACTGGTGCGCCTAAAATTCTCCAGGCCTCTAATACCCAACCTCTTCTTTCCATCTTCAGAATTCAATGTTGTTGTAGAGTTGTGAAAAAACACAGGGCAACTAGCTAACGGCTGTAACCTCAAGAATGCCCTTGTCATCTTTCATCCCACACCTCTGAATTGCCTTCATTTTCTGGAGGCCCATAAATTGGCTCTTATTGTCCCATAAATGGCTCCTTTTGGGGTGGGATTTATAGTGAGGTGTGGGAATCGAGTGTGCAGAGGGGGTGGGGGGGGTATAAAATCCACCTTTTGATGTCCCCCCCCACCCTCCCCTTGCTTAACAGGCAGAGCAGACGGGCCTACCCATATGCTGCACGGTGCCTTTGCCACACACTGCTAGCGTGCGACTCTCTCACACACAGGCACATTAAAAGATATTAAACTGCTTTTCTGCTTTCATTCAGAGTCATGAGAAGCAACAGCCAAGCAGGGTGGTTCACGTTAAGCTCTGCCACTTCCTCTGCTGTAATTAAAGCTGCCCGTGCAGGGGGTCTCTAAAAGTCTTGTTTTGCTACACCCGTTTTAAAGGCAAGGGCAAGGCTTTTTGAACTGTTGAACAAGTTTCTGTGTATTTCTGGGTGGTGATCAATCATTGGTTTTGACAGGCGCCAAACGTCAACCTGAACAAATAATGTTGCAGGAAAATTAAAACAGTTTCAAGAAGAAGCAAGTCATAGCTTTCATTCTTTTGTCCACCACAAACAAAAAGTCAAACAAGAGCAAATGTAAGGCCACTGCAACCCCATTGCAAACCTGCTTTTTTCCAGTGTTTTAAATGTAAAGAAAAATTTCAAAGTTACAGTGTGTAAAATCTTACTACTAGATATCAATAGATTGGTAAAATTCAATTCAATTCAATTTTATTTATATAGCGCCAAATCACAACAAAAGTCGCCTCAAGGCGCTTCATAGATACAGAGAAAAACCCAACAATCATATGACCCCCTATGAGCAAGCACTTTGGCGACAGTGGGAAGGAAAAACTCCCTTTTAACAGGAAGAAACCTCCGGCAGAACCAGGCTCAGGGAGGGGCGGGGCCATCTGCTGCGACCGGTTGGGGTGAGAGAAGGAAGACAGGATAAAAGACATGCTGTGGAAGAGAGACAGAGTTAATAACAGATATGATTCAATGCAGAGAGGTCTTTAATACATAGTGAGTGAGAAAGGTGAC